CACCTCACTCACCGCCCTTGGGATTGCCAATCACTTCAAAAACAAGATAAACACTATTCGCAGGGACATCGCCGCTGCCCAGACCTCCTCCCCACCCATCTCCTCTCACACAGCAACCCCTTCAACACCCCTCTCCCTTGGCCTCACCACTGTTCAGACCTCCACCCCACCTAACATCCCTCACACTGAAGCCCCCTCAACACTCCACTCCTTTGACCTTACTACCACCGAGGAGGTCACTAAGGTCTTCTCCGAAGCCTGCCTCACCACCTGCCCCCTCGACCCTGTCCCCTCACAACTCCTATGACCTCCCTCCTCCTCCATCCTACGCTCCCTCACCCACATCTTTAATCTCTCCCTCTCTTCTGACGCATTCCCCTCCCCTCTGAAGCATGCGCACATAACTCCCATACTCAAAAAGCCCTCCCTGGACCCCTCTGACCCGAACAACCTTAGACCCAACTCCCTGCTGCCATTTACATCCAAACTCCTTAAGCACTTAGTCTATAATCGCCTAAGCTCCCACCTCAACGACAACCTCCTCGACCCCCTACAGTCCGGCTTCTGTCCCCTACACTCCACTGAAACTGCCTTACTTAAACTCACCAACGACCTGCTAACTGCCAAAGCTAATGGCCACTATTCAGTGATCCTACTCCTCGACCTCTCCGTGGCTTTGGACACAGTCGACTACCCCCTCCTCCTCAAAAAACTACACTCCCTTGGCCTCAGAGACTCCGCTCTCTCCTGGCTCTCGTACTACCTATCACAACGCTCCTTCAGCGTTACCTATAACGCTACCACCTCCCCTTCACTCCCCCTCTCTGTCGGGGTCCCTCAAGGCTCTGTCCTCGGTCCCCTTCTCTTCTCCATCTACACCTCCTCCCTTGGCCAACTGATACAATCTTACGGCTTCAACTACCACCTCTATGCCGATGACACGCAAATTTATCTCTCGACCCCTCGCCTCACCCCTTCAGTCTCCGCCCAAATCACTAGCCTGCTGAACAACATATCAGATTGGATGTCGCTCCACTTCCCTAAACGGAACCTCTCCAAAACCGAGCTCCTAGTTTTCCCCCCAGCCCGCGCACCCGCCCCCCCCCCCCCCCACTGACTTCTCCATCACATCCAACAATGCCACCATCAGGCCCACCCCACAAGCCAGAGTACTTGGTGTCATTCTTGACTCCAATCTATCCTTCCTGCCCCAAGTCCAATCGCTAACAAACTCATGAAGACTCCACCTCCACAATATCGCCAAAATACGCACGTTCCTAACCCCAGAAACCACTAAACAGCTCATCCACTCCCTCATCATATCACAACTCGATTACTGCAACTCCCTCCTCACTGGCCTCCCTCACCACAGTCTATCCCTGATTCAGTCGATCCTGAATACGGCAGCCAGACTCATCCACCTTACTAACCGCTCCTTATCTGCCACCCCCCTCTGCCAATCCCTCCACTGGCTTCCGATTGCCCAATGGATCAAATTCAAAATGCTTACACTGACGTACAAAGCTGTCCATAATACTGCCCCAAATTACATCACCGACCTGATATCGAAATACCACCCAACACGTACTCTTCGCTCCTCACAAGACCTCCTACTCTCCAGTTCCCTGGTCTCCTCCTCCCATGCCCGCCTCCAGGACTTCTCCAGGGCATCGCCCATCCTCTGGAACTCCCTACCCCAATCCATCAGACTATCACCTACTCTCCTCTCCTTTAGGCGCACCATAAAAACCCACCTCTTCAGGGAAGCCTACCCTGCCCCCTGCTAATTGCCGATCTCCTCCACTCTTCCTACCACCACTCCATCCCCCACAGCTTTTCCTCCCATACCACTATCCCCTCCCTACTAGATTGTAAGCTCCAAGGAGCAGGGCCCTCAAAACTCCTTGTGTATCGCACTGTATTGTTATTGTACTGTCTCATGTATTATCTCCCTTTGTAATGTACAGCGTTGAGCGAATTATTCGCACTTTATAAATACTGTATAATAATAACTGTACCATACTTGACTCTCAAGCCAACCTTTTCTCCATCCGAATTAGTCTCTTTGTGGAATGTGGCTCTAAAAGTGACCTTTCGAATAGCAGTATCATCTGGTAAAAGAGTGTCAGAACTTCAAGCCCTAGGGGCGGAAGAGGACCACATTACTTTCTACCCAGAAAGGGTGGAACTTAGAACACTGCGTGGATTCGTTCCAAGGTCTCTTCATTTTCCAAGCTTTTCAGACCCGAAATCGGGTACCCTCCATGAGCTCGACATCGCCAATGTGTTAAGGTGTTATCTTCAGGATACAGCATCCTTTAAGGATTTTTCTAATCTATTTGTCATCCCTTGGAGCAAAAACAAGGGAAAGGAGGCTTCAAGAACCATTGCTTCATGGATAGTCAAGTTAATTCATAAGGCGTACAGGGCCAGGGGTTAGGAAAGTCCCCGATTCAATCAGGGCTCATTCGACCAGGTCTGTCTCTGCTTCATGGGCAGCCAGGGCAAATGTATCCACCGCGACCATCTGCAGAGCAGCTATGTGGTCGTCCTAACACACATTTATGAGTCACTACAAAGCGCACCCAAGGGCTCTCTCATCTATGGAGTTCGGCAGACAAGCTATCAGGGTGGCCGTTGCCTGCTGAAAATGATAAATCTTCCTACCTTTCGAATAAAACTTTTTTCTAAGCATGATCCCACTCGTTTCAGCTAGTTATTTATCACAGGTATGCTGCCATGGAGGCACCAGGAAAACAGAAAATTGTACCATACTTACCGTAATTTTCCTTTCTTAGTGCCTATCCATGGCAGCATACAATCCCACCCTTGGTATTCTATATTACAGAGAATGCTGGGGGTACCTTAATCCTTTCTTTTTATATATTCACTGGCCCTGAGAGAGAGGAGTCTAAGGTGAAGCTTATCACAGATATGCTGCCATGGATAGGCACCAGGAAAGGAAAATTATGGTAAGTATGGTACAATTTTCTGTTTTTTTTTTCCTCATTGTGGATAGAATAAGGGAGGGTTATAACCCCTCCAGTTTTTTTTTTTGCCATCTGTGTTCCATTGGGGAGATTTTCCTTCACGTCCTGTCCCATACCCAAAACAGGAAGTGAGAGGAAATCCCTCCAAAGTGAGGAAATCCCTGCTTGTCACCAGGACTAGTGCCCTCTATTGGAAGATTTCCCCTCTTCCCCCTACAGTCCAGCTTCTGTCCCCTACACTCCACCGAAACTGCCTTACTTAAACTCACCAACGACCTGCTAACCGCCAAAGCTAATGGCCACTATTCAGTGATCCTACTCCTCGACCTCTCCGCGGCTTTTGACAAAGTTGACCACCCCCTCCTCCTCAAAAAACTACACTCCCTTGGCCTCAGAGACTCCGCTCTCTCCTGGCTCTTGTCCTACCTATCACAACGCTCCTTCAGCGTTACCTATAACGCTACCACCTCCCCTTCACTCCCCCTCCTCTGTCGGGGTCCCTCAAGGCTCTGTCCTCGGTCCCCTTCTCTTCTCCATCTACACCTCCTCCCTTGGCCAACTGATACACTCTCACGGCTTTAACTACCACCTCTATGCCGATGACACGCAAATCTATCTCTCAACCCCTCGTCTCACCCCTTCAGTCTCCGCCCAAATCACTAGCCTGCTGAACAATCCCACCCTCGGTATTCTATATTACAGAGAATGCTGGGGGTACCTTAATCCTTTCTTTTTATATATTCACTGGCCCTGAGGGAGGAGTCTAAAGGTGAAGCTTATCACAGAAAACAGGAAGTGAGAGGAAATCCCTCCAAAGTGAGGAAATCCCTGCTTGTCACCAGGACCAGTGCCCTCCATTGGAAGATTTCCCCTCTTTTAATGTTCTGATGACAATATAAAATCTGGGGTTCCTTTTACCAGCACTTTTTATGATAACAGGGACTGATGTGAATGTACAATATATATGTAAAGAGCTGTGTAAATTGATGGCGCTATATAAGTACCTGACATAAAAAATAATAAATAACAGTAAGCAGGACAAATAGAGAGGGTGAATCCCCCAAACAGGGACAAAGACAGCAAAAAAAAACCTGACAGGGGTTCTATTCCATCTCCAATCTGTTCAAAGCTATAAATGAAAGTTCTGTTCTTAGTCCTAGGTTCAGCTTGTCATCACACTAGGTAACACAGCCCAATGCATGTGATGTGAATGGAGCCTTTATGGAAATGTTCTACCTGCTGAGCTCAGTGTAATGAGGGGAGGTTATTTATCTCTCACTGTATCCTGTGCTCCAAGAATAAAGCCTGCATGCCTCCTGCACGGAGCCCGAAGTAATAGAGCACTGTCTTGGCTGGGTCTCCCACATTCTACTTGCAGTAGTGTACAGAGGAAGTAACATGAGAAGCAATGCCTGCAATCCATCTTACTACACCCATACCCAGCCCCCTCTCCTTACACTCCATCTTACTACACCCATACCCAGCCCCCTCTCCTTACACTACACCATCTTACTACACCCATACCCAGCCCCCTCTCCTTACACTCCATCTTACTACACCCATACCCAGCCCCCTCTCCTTACACTCCATCTTACTACACCCATACCCAGCCCCCCTCTCCTTACACTCCATCTTACTACACCCATACCCAGCCCCCTCTCCTTACACTCCATCTTACTACACCCATACCCAGCCCCTCACCTTACACACCATCTTACTAAACCCATACCCAGCCCCCCTCTCCTTACACTCCATCTTACTAAACCCATGCCTAGCCCCCTCTCCTTACACTCCATCTTACTACACCCATACCTAGCCCCCTCTACTTACACTCCATCTTACTACACCCATACCCAGCCCCTCCCCTTACACGCCATTTTACTATACACCCATACCTTCCCCTTATGCTCTGCCCAGAAACCTCCTTCCTATGATGTAATACGTAAGCGACGAGCGTAGGATTGCTCTTTTCCACGTGATTGTCGAAGTGGAGCGTGTGAGGCCGGAACCATGGCGGATAGACCTGTGGTGCCTAGTGATTTATTCCCTCATATCCTGCGCTTCCTGCGGGACAACCAGTTCACGGGCGCCGCCAGAGAGTTCAGCAAAGCCACAGGACTGGTGAGTGATTGGGGGAGGGTTGGAGCACGTGGTCCCGTCTGCTAGGTGTACACAGCCTGGCACTGCATAGGGAACACATGGCAGCGAGTGTGCTGGGAGCAGGTGGTGATTTCAGCTTCTCCTGGGATCCCACTGCGGTGGCACATTGGTTCAAGCTGGAGCAATGTAACTATGGGATTCATCTTTAACCACTTAATGCCCGCCTGTAATGTACAAAGCAGGAATGAGTAACTGAGAGATCTGTTAGTAAAAGCAGCACAGTGTACAACATTACATAGCACACGTTTAACCTCTCGATCACCCTAGATCAGGGTTCCATGGAACTCTGGGGTTCCTCCACAAGTTGCCAGGGGTTTGTTAACCTCTTTGTGCTGGCACCTCCCAGCCCTTTAAGAGTTTCAGAAGCCAGGTGGGGGGGGGGGGGGGGGGGGGGGGGGGGGGGGGGGGGGGGGGGTCATGTGTGTGTCCGCGGTCACATGATCGGAAAAGGTCCCGATCGAAAGGGGTGATCGGAACCTTTCCGCGAGATGCTGACATATGTGCTGGGAAAGTGCAGGGCGCTCTCTCTCAGCACATCTATTTTCTAATTGCACGCAAGTATGTGGCCACTCGGCATCAAGGCCCAGACTCCGTGAGGCCGCATATTTGCGTTCAGTCGGTGTCAAGGGGTTAAGCAGTGAGCAATTTCTGCCTCTCAGATAAGTTCCCACTGACACCATTGATTTATTTAGCTGTCTGTAAGGGAATTCTTCCCAATGACCACAGTTTTAAAGGAGCATTCTTCTCAGTTGCCATCACCCTAATGTATCATGAGCTGTAGATATAGTCGTTATTGGCAGGGGTTCTCTGACACCCGAAAGTTAGTTCAGGGGTTCCTCTGTGTTGAAAAGGTTGAGAGAGGCTGCTCCTAGATGTTAACTGCTTCCCAGTCAGTGTCATTGGTACAGTGACAGTGTATAGCAGGCGTCACTAAATGGTGGACCGCGGTCTGGACACTGACCAAGTGACAGTCCAGTCCAGACAGTGACTGTACAGTTTAGCAGCCTGAGTGGACTCCTCTCCTCCTGCTGCTGAAGCTATTAAAAATCCCAGTATTGTGGAGGGCAGGAGGAATGGCATAGTGGACCCCTCTTCTGTGTGACCTGTACTGCCGCTTGACTCGCAGCAGGAAAAAGGGCTGGAGGAATCACAGGGTGTAAGATGGGGGGGCCATGATGGGGGAACTGTGAAATGGGGTGTAATTGGGGGCAGCTGTAATACTTGGCGCTGTTATGTGAGGAAGAAGCTCTGATATGGGGGGGTGCGTTGTGATGTGATAAGGGGGAGCTATGATATAGGGGGGCTGTGATGTGAGAGTGGGAGCTGTGAGTTGGATGGGCTGTGATGTGAGTAGGGGGTGTGATTTGAGAGGGGTCAGCTTTGATATGGGGGTCTCTGATGAGAGGGGGGAGCTATGATATAGGGGGCTGTGATGTGAGAGACAGAGCTGTGAGTTGGATGGGCTGTGATGTGAGGGGGGGTGATTTGAGAGGGGACAGCTCTTACATGGTGGTCTCTCATGTGAGGGGGGGGGCTGTGATGTGAGGGAGATATAAGGGGGGCTGGGATGTGGGGGGGGGGGAGCTTATGATATGAATGGTCTGTGGTGTGAGCAGGGGGGTGTGGGCTTTTTTTTTTTTTTATCCAAAGCTAAAAAAAAAGTTTTTCATTCAGTGATACTTTAAGAAACTTTTTTCCTATAGGTAAGTGTAAAATGCAACTTCCATGTAGGTACAGTAGATATTCACATCAGTTCCAGCCAGTGACGTCACTGGCACACATGCAATACGCTCTGCATTCAGGGCACACTGAGTGTTCTGTGAATGCAGAGGGCACCGTGCCATGATGCTGACTCCCATACACGGGAATGATGTCTTTAAAAGGCTGGAGAGTGCGAACCTGGAAGGAAGAAAGAAAGGTAGAAGATGGAGACACCAGGGGCAGTGACGGCACAGCACCAATGGCTTCCACTGCAGTCTCTGAGCCATTCAGGAGGGAGAGAGCCTAGAGAGCCACTGCTCTCAGACACAGCACTGGAGATCTATAAGGGTGGGCGAGCTGCATGCTTAAAATTGTTCCTTAATGTAGAGAATACAGTAAGGTAAGCTTTCAGCCTTTAGAACCACTGTAAAGCGAAGAAAAATATTAAACATTTCAAGGGCCCCAGGAGTTTATTGCCGTTATATGGAAGCATTCATGGCATATTTGCACAGAATAGGCCGCGTACCTCAAAAAGCGGCCCCCTCCAGTGTGCTGTGATTTCTGAGTTACCATCTTTGGTTTCATAGTCATCAACCTTCTTGATTGCCTGGACCTTACTCCCGCACAGCTCAGTGTATGCTCCCGCACACGCACAGCTCGGTGCATGCTCCGCACACGCACAGCTCAGTGTATGCTCAGAATAAAACCACTAACAGGCAGAGAAAAAGTATTTGACAGTCTATTTTGCCATAATAAGCCTACCTGTCTCCTAGATTGTAAGCTGCAAGGAGCAGGGCCCTCCTATCCCTCTTGTATTGAACTGTATTGTTGCTGTATTGTCTCCCTTTATACTGTAAAGTGCTGAGCAAACTATTGGCGCTATATAAATCCTGTATAATAATAATACCTGTCCGTCTTTTGAAAACCAGGTTTTCTTTAACGCTTATGAGATTTGATGTTTGGGTTTATATCTACTTTATATGTTTTAGTACATCATTTTATTGTGAAAGCACTACTTTGGTCTATATCAGTGGTTCTCAACCTGTGGGTCGTGACCCCTTTTGGGGGTCGAATGACCCTTTCACAGGGGTTGCCTAAGACCATCGGAAAACACATATTTCCGATGTGTAAAGAGCAGCTGCTGTGTAGAAAGCAGCTGCTGTGTTGAAAGTAGCTACTCTGTTAAAAGCAGCTACTGTGTTGAAAGCAGCAGCATTGGAGGTAAAACACTTCATGAATTCTAATTACTGGATAAATAATTTTATGGTTGGGGGTCACCACAACATGAGGAACTGTATTAAAGGGTCGCGGCATTAGGAAGGTTGAGAACCAATGGTCTATATGATATAAATAGGGCATATAGTAGCTCCCTGAGCATTATTAAATCCAATCTTTAAAATCCCATAAATGCTTTAACATGTTTAATGTCATTTCAATTGTTTACATTTTTTCAATTCTGCAACTTTCCATAACATGATACCTGCTGATTCTGCCATGTAGGTCCTCCCTGCATTGTCACATGAACCACCAGTGAAGGGTACAGGTGGCTGTGCCAAAACCCATTACACTGGCATGGTGGTCCCATTACTGTTACCCTCAGAAAATCAGTCCAGAGTAATAATGCATGACACACACAGGTATACATGCATGTAGACAAGAAGTAGTTGAAAGAAGCTGTAGGAGATCATCGGCTATGAGATGCTGCAAGGGATTAAAAAAATAAAAATGTGTTTGTTTGATTCACAGCCTTGCCTTAGCAAACTTAACCACTTTAGGACCACCCGCCCTCGTACTGTGGACGGGCAGCTCCTACAGGCACAGCATCGTACCTGTACATCGCTGCCTGATTCTGGGTTCAGGGCATAGCAGAGAGAAAAAACAATGAATTAAAAAGCAACACACATTACACATTGGCAACTTTTGGGTGACAAGCTTCACGCGATACGATTTACTGCACAGCAATCATAGTAAAACCGCACCGTGTTTTAGGTGTCATTAAAAATAATGGCATCTGAAGCTGTGTTTTGTGGTCACAGCGATTCTGCCACTATCCCAAAATGCCCAGGTGAGAGTGCAGGCGCCCTAATTCACACATTTGCGATTCTAGATGCGTCTTCAAACTCAGTTTCGCATGAGAGGCTAGACATTGTGTTCCTTTTGAGGTGCGTCACAAAGATGTAACCCGCATGCATTTGTGTTTTGAGTGGCATTTCAAAAAGGGTCCTGTGGGCGTTTGTAGCAGTGCGTTCTAGATTTGCAAGTGATAGAGTGGCATTTGAAGATAAATGTTCACATAGGATTGCTATTGACAGGAGTTTTTGCATTGAAGTCAATGGAAAGGCAGTATGTGAACCCAGGCGCCAGGATGCAGTTTCTGGGACTTGTCAAGCCCTGACCTAATCCCTTGATTACCCTGTGATGTTAACCCCTTCTCAGCCAGTGTTATTACTACAGTGACAGTGTGTAGTATTATCCCTGATTACTGTATTAGTTTCACTGGTGATATCAGTGTCAGATTGACTGCCTCACTATCGCAGTCCCTCGATAAGTCCTTGATCACCGCCATTACTAGTATAAATAAAAAAAAAATTGCAGTATATATACCATAGTTTGTAGACACTTTCACACACACCAATCAATATACACTTATTTGGATATTTTTTTTTTACCAAAGACGTAGCCGAGTATATTTTGACCTAAATTTATGAAGAAATTAGGGTTGTTTTTTTTTTTTTTAATATATATATTTTATAGCAGAAAGTTAAAAAAAATGTTTTTTAAAAAATTTTGGCCTTTTTTTTTTGTTTAATAAAAAATAAACAAAAATCCCAGTGGTGATCAAATACCACCAAAAGCCCTATTTGTGTGAAAAATGTATATAAATTTCATTTGGGTACAGTGTTGCATGACTGCACAATTACCAGTTAAAAGTAGCACAGTGCTGAATAGCAAAAAATGACCTGGTAATGAAGGGGGTGAAACCTTCCAGAGCTCAAGTGGTTATCCAGTTAGGGTTTAGGTCTAGTGCTAACTCTTTTGAGTTAGTTTTGCTATATTAAAATTTATGTGCCAGAATTGCTGTTGCCTGTCAAACAGGCTTATGTAGGCACATGCGCTTATCATTAGGGTGTCTGCCTCATAGTGACATTGATCTACTACTGTTTGTTGTACTGTATTTATAACAGTTTTTGTTTTCTTTAATTCAACAGAAAGATAAGGACAACAGCCCTGCCAATCTTGTGGATATATACGGCGATTGGCTAAAGTAAGTATGAATATGTTCTGATTAGGTGTTTCTTCTGGCTTTTGTCAGTCCTGTCACTGTAACCTCCATTCAAGAATTAGGGGATAGTATATATAACAGTTGAAACGCTACCCAGAAAAATGTTGGCAAATGAGATGAGCTTATAGTTGGTATGCTACGGTGTTCACCTTATTTACTAACATTTGCGTTGCTAATTGAACAGCCTCTACTCGTTTAGTAAGATAAGGTCCATGTGTAGGAGATTTTTTCGCTGTGCACATAAACTTCAGTTAATGGGCATTTTCTGTTTCCATTAAGCGGTGTGAATGTACACAGTTGCAATACACCTTAAGTGAAGCTATGGGCCAAATCAAATTCAGGGCTGTGTGCAGACTGCTACATCTGCAGAACGCGGCACCACATGCACTATGGGCGAGTCAGGAGATTTGTAGCTAGTTTACATTTTTATTTTTCTTGAAATTGAGACCCTGCCCTTTAGATTCTTATGTAATTTCTGCTCTCTGTCCTCCTGTGGTGATTACCTTCACTTCTTGTCTTTTGAGATGTAACATGAATGGAAATCTCACCAAAGTTAGGATATTTCCCCTCTTAGTTGTTCCTGTAACCTCCCCCCCCCCCCCCCCCCCTTCACCTCTTGCTCTCATGACAGCTCTAAAATTTAAGACATACAGGTGGGTGCATCTCCAAAGTGAGGACACAGTTCCTCTACATTTTATAGTGGCTCACCATCCTTTTTTTTCCTTAGCTCCCTCTGTAACCGTTTTATTGCTTGTTGATCCTGTTAGTAGATCAATTGATTTTCCATTTCCTCTAACAGGCAACACTGTTCTAAAATGAAATCACAGTAAATTTGTCACCTTGTGGACAGGATTAGTCTTTCATCTGCTGGCTTTACGTAGGCAACAAACAAATTAAAGCTCAACCCCAATTAACGCTTTTAAATCGGTATGGCAACAGGTTTAAATTTCATAAATAAATTTGACCCATACTATGCACTCCAAACCCTCATACCTGTTACTGAATAGTTGGTCTGCAGGTAACTGTGGGGGAAACATTTAAATAAATGGCTGTGAAATAGAGAAGGAATTTATGTAAAGACAGGCTGTTTAAAAAAAAAAAAAAAAAAAGAAAAGTTAATTACTTAAAGTGATTCTAAAGGCTCAGATTTAATTTTTTTAAAATAACAAACATGTTATACTTGTCGCAAACATGCGCAACACAGTGAAGTACGCAGACTCCATCTTGCTAAGAGTAGCCATTTCTCCCTTATCCTTCCCCTACCCCTTCCTCTCACTGAGAGGAGACATTTGGCCAGTGTGTGTGCTGGTTATGGGTCACTGGCCGGCCAAGGCATCTCTGAGCTAGGTGCTGAGCTGTCTGTGAAAGCTGTATCCTTTCTCACCTAGGAAGAGATCAGGCCAGCTTTCCCAAGAGAGTTGGAGTCTCACTGTCCAAAGTACCTGTGTAATTTCACACCTCGTAAAAAGATAAAGGAGCCTTCCCAGGAGTTCAAGACATTCCCAAGAAGCACACACCAAATAACATTTTTAAAAGATCCATATTTCCCCTATGTCTCATATCTTGGAATATGAAAGACTTACATAAAAAACAGACACCTCGCAGATGGCCAATGAGCAGGCGAACAGTTTGATGGGTCACTCGCTTTGTCTCGGACCATCAGGGAAGAAAACATAGAACTCGTGAACCGTGCAGTATATAATTTCATAATTCATATCTAAATAATCCTCAGACGATTATTTCAATCATTATATTGTTATAACAGATAACGCAAGTTTCCTCTTTCTCTGTACAAAAAGGAGGTGGTGGCAGTGTGGAGGGTTAGTTATGTAATCAACCCGACCCAGTAACGATCGCCCAGGCTGCCGGTACATCGATTGTGGTCCGTTAGGTGGAAAATCGTTGTGCAGGGTGCAGCTGGGCGTGGCATTGTTACGCACGTCACATCGCGGTTTTAGATTGGCTAGTCCTTCGATCATGAGTTTGGCGAGAAGGTCTGGGGTCTGACGCTGCGATCGTGACATATTAGACGTCGCGATCATGGGCTTGTCGCCTGTTGGTGGCGGCGATCTTGCGATCGTGACAATACTTACCTGCTCTGTGTAATGGTTTTACACAGAGCAGACCTGATCCTCCTCTTTTTGGGTCTCCTGCTGGCGCTCCTGGATTGTGCCCCCATATTAAGCCACTTGCTATGGGGGCACTTATGCGTGCTTGTCCCTAAGTGACACAGAACGCAGCTTGGCCCTGCCCCCCCAATCCAATGACTCCCGCTGCTGTGTTTGAGCCAATGAGGAGAGATCTGAGCAATTCTCTGCTCTCATGCACATCGCTGGATCAAGATTGGGCTCAGGTTAGTATTTAGGAGTGGCGGTGGGTAGGGTAGCTGACACCAAACCCCTCCCACAGTCTTCTAAGACGTGACAGGTCCCAGAAGACAAAGGGACCGTTCAGAAAGCGCAGCGCTACTCGCGCATGTGCAGCGGTCACCCAGCTCTGAAGCCACAAGCTGTCACAGCCGGGTGCCCACACTGAAGATGTCAGGGTGATGCTGGTTATTTTTATATATTGTGACTGGAGCTCTGCTTTAACAACCATACTGTAATTATAATATGATTATAAACCAGAAAATCTTACCTTTATCTTACCAAGGGAACCTTGGGGTTCTCCAGTGCCTGGTCTTAATGGTCTTTCCAATATGCCATCTTTGGCTACATGTACTATATGTTTTTAAACATGTTTTTTCCACCAGATCACCTGCTTCTAAGAAAAGAAAACTTCTTGCTAATAGCCTGCCCAGTAAAAAGCCTGCTAAGGAATCCAGCAGTGAAGACAGTTCTAGTGAAGATGAAGAGCCACCAGCTAAAAAGCCAAGTAAGTTTCATATAGAGAAATGGAAAATAAAAAGCAAATATGTAGCAAGCTACTCAGAGATGACATGTAATTCGTGTGTTGACCATGATTTATGTGGGGTTTATTTAGTGTCCTATCCTTTTTTTTTATTTAATTTTTTTTTTTAAATTCACAAATGTTTGAACGACTAGGGAGGTGTGCAGTATGTCACTAATCTACATATGGAGAGAGAAAAAAAATCAGTCAGGTGATCGAGGACTGGTTCTCCCAGTTCCCCATCATTGGTACGGTTCTCAGAGCTGTCAGCTACCAGATTCCAGCACAAACACAGTAGTGCATATATGTGGTCCCACAGATAAAGACCCACTTCCACTTAAATGGACAAAACATGAGGGTATGTGCATGTATTGGATGGATTTACTGAATGTGATTTTATGTATTTATTTGCTTTTGTGCTTATTTTGCCAATTTTGATACTTTATTTTAGCACCGACAGCAGCCAAAAAGCCAGTAACTAAAGTGCCTCCACAAAAGAAAGCTGAAAGCAGCAGTGAAGATTCTGATTCTGACTCTGAAGAGGAAACAAAGAAGCCTCCTGTAAGAAACTTGCCTTAATGAGCAGTTACAGCATGGGATTAGGGAGTTTATATGCAGTCTTCCTACCTCCTGCACCCCTTCATTGAACTGGTTTAAGGCTGGCCATACACTATACAATTTTCTGTCCAATTTCTGCCCAATTTCCTTTAGTTTTACCTTCAACTATGTAGTGCAAGGGCCTGCCTAATTGGATACATTTGAAAGGGTTGTTTAGGTTTGACCTGATTATATGGCTTTTGGTAAATCTAAAGTAGAATTCTCAATAAAATGATAAAATGTATGGCTAGCCTAAGGCCTATTCACACTTATTCACTTCGATAAAGCTTGTGTATGTTTTGCTATCATTATGTTCAATGCAGCAGCAGGCAGCACACCACAATGCGCACTCTTTGGTGCCTCAGGTTGAGTCAGGTGCATTTTTTGGCCTGGATGGCAGTGCATTGGAAACCTGTTCACATGCATTAACACAATGAGGTTAGTTTTACTAAAACTGGTGCAGCTGTGCATGGTAGCTAATCAGCTTCTAACTTCAACTTGCTCAAATGAGCTTTGATGAGAAGTCCTCATGCACATCGGATGTATTTACAGCTGCTGTTTTTGGCTTTTAGCGTTTTTTTTTTTTTTCTACAGCCAGTAAACTCCCAAGCATGTTATCCTTTGTCCATGCACATATTGATTGTAAATTTTTTTTAGGCTGGGGAAAAAAACCCAGCACTAGTGGGTTTCTAGAGTTTTATAGCTATAAAAGCGCGGCAAACTAGGGTTTTTGGATGTTGGAGGTTTTTATTAACAAAAAAAATTTTTTTTTTTCATTAAACGCAAACGCGGCTAAACACTAATGCTAAAAACTGCAGAAAACTTGCGTTTTTAACGTGACTTTACACAGCTAATGCTACCAAGCGTTATTAAAATGCCCAGTGTGCATGGAGCCTTAAACCTGGACGCTAATTGGCTATTATGCACATCTGCACCAGATTTTGCACTCTCCAGTTTTAGTAACTTGACCCCAGTATGTACAGTATATTAAGGTACTGCAGTGCCTTTGTATGACATGTTTACCAGTGCATGGAATAAAAAATGAACATAAAAATTTCAAGCAAATTCCCAAACGTGTGTGGTGTGTAAATTTCACGCTCTACTCTTCTTTAATCCCTAATGCAGGATCTCACCTTGCTAAAGAGTGAAGATTCCCCTTTTCTTGGGATAGTTTTTTGACTGTTGGTGTCTGTGCAAAAGCTGCATGCTTCCAGGAGCATTCAGTTGTGTTTAAGATCAGTTTGGGATGCCTTTTTGAAATCCTTCAAATTGCATTTAGCTCTACTTTAAGATTTTATGAAACTCTGAAGGGTCTCCAGGGGTTTACCTGTGCCATCACTGGCATCAACAGTCTTGGCGCTATGGCTGGGAACCAAAACTTAAAATCTCATACCATTGTGTAATTACTGATAAAAGTGAACGTCTAGGTGGTGTGACGTTTTAGCAACTTTAGAGGAGATAAAGCCCCTAAATGCTGCATATCTGTATACAGACTTTACATCTGCTTCATGTGCTGGATGTTTAATCTGCTGCTTGTTTTGCAGGTTAGGAGGTAGAATTGTTTGGCGGCATTATTGTACACTGATGTTGCGCACCTAAGCTGATTTAGTTTTGTCTGCACACAGAAAAAGACAACACCCCTGGCAAAGAAGGCAAATGTGAAAACTCCTCCTCAAAAGAAAGCAGAAGATTCGAGTTCAGACTCCAGCAGTTCAGAAGATGAACCCCCCAAGAAAAAACAGGCTCCTCCGCCAAGTCCCCTGTGGTAAAGTCTCCAGCACAGCCGTGTAAGAAGTGATCATTTTTCCTGCAAGTGTGACAGTACCTGGAAAATGGTTTCTTAACACTTTTTACTCCTGCCATCACAAGCATAATATGAGGGCTGTAGTGGGATGTAAGCAAAATAGCTGAAATGCTGAGCAAGTTCAGAAAGTATTTTGGGGTGTTAGGTACAGTTTTATGTGGCTGTGCATTTAAGCAAGCACAGGAACAAAATGGTCTGGCAGCAAAAAGGGTTTTTTTAAACGTTAATTCTTGAGCGAATGTTCTTCTTTGTCTGTGGAAAGAGAGAATCCCCTGCTAGACACTGACACTTTTTTATCTAAGGAGGCAAGAGTGTGTGAAGTAGCAAAACAAAACCTTGGGCTTTGTGGAATGGGCTGGAATTTTTTGCTGGTATCTGGTTTCTTTTAACTTGTAATCGTCTGTACTTCCAGCTTTAACGCATGGTTAAAAAGTTTGAGAGAGTGGCCATTGCTATGTAATTGTCAAAAATGCATTAAAGGCGCTAAGTTCACCCTTTGGAATGTGTTACATGTTATACCTGTAGTTAACAAGTTCCTAAGCACACCCCTGAGCCCTTTTTTCCCTGTGACAGCATGCAGGGGTGGTGGTTCTCTGCAGCTGCTATCACATTTAAAATTTGGTACAGTAACTGTTGGTGATCAGTGGTGTTATTTTTCCCTTTTTAGCTATAGAAGGGGAGGGGGTTGTTAACGTTTTATTCAATAAGTGATAGGCCATCCCAGTAATTACAAGGCAGATAGCCGCTTTAGCTTGCTTTGTGCATTTTGCCTGTGTTCCGTGTTGTCCATTGACCGCATGATCGCAGGAATTGTGTATGAATCTGGTGTGTGCACAAGTAGTAAACAGAGCTCCGTTTTTAAACTGCTCCAGAAAAACAGCACCTCTGGTTTGTGTGTTGTAACTATCCTTAGATTGTACGCCCCCTGTGGGTCAGGAACTGATGTGAATGTACAATATATATATATATATTATATATATATATATATATATATATATATATATGCAAAGCGCTGTGTAAATTGACGGCGCTATATAAGTACCTGTAATAAATAAATAAATACATTGGCATTGAAGTGGCTATAGGGTCAGCTTATCACTTTAAATCTAGTGTGTGAAAAAAACAATAGCTTTTGGAGTTGACAATTGAGATGCAGTTGTAATCAAGGCAGGAGCTGTTTTCTGCATTATCTACACCTTGTTCCAAATTATTATGCAAATTATATTTTTCTCATTTACCTAAATAATTGATGTAAATAACAGTCAGCATAATTCTCAAGTTAAGAGTACAATTCAAATTTTATTGAACAAACCTCCTAATAACAGTATTTTTTTTAAACATAAACTTACAATGCACTGTTCCAAATTATTACGCACAGTAAGTTTCAAAACACTTTATAGGTTGTAAAGAACTGAAAATTGTCATTTGTTGTGTTTGTAGCATATTTACTGAAATCAAAAGCTATTTCAATCAAACTTTTAACAACATTTTAACTTTTTAAACATTTTAACAGGTCACGTTACATTGTAACATAGGACCCCTTATTTGATAGCAGCTTCACAAGTCTTGCATCCATTGAACTTGTGAGTTTTTGGACAGTTTCTGCTTGAATTTGTTTGCAAGATGTCAGAATAGCCTCTCAGAGCTGCGGTTTGGATGTAAACTGCCTCCCGCCCTCATAGATCTTTTGCTTGAGGATGCGCCAAAGGTTCTCAATAGGATTGAGGTCAGGGGAGGATGGAGGCCACACCATGACTTTCCTTTTTATCCCCATAACAGCCATTGATGCAGAGGTATTATTTGCAGCATTAGATGGTGCATTGTCATGCATGAAGATGATTTTATTACGGAAAGCATAGTTCTTCCTTCTGTACCAGGGAAGAAAGTGGTCAGTCATAAACCACATACTTTGCAGAGGTCATCTTTACACCTTTGGGGTCCCTAAAGGGGTTGACCAGCTCTGTTCCCATGATTCCGGCCCAAAACATGACTCCACCACTGCCTTGCTGACGTCGCAGCCTTGTTGGAACAGGGTGGCCGTCCACCAACTATCCACTACTCTATCCATCTGGAACATCCAGGGTTGCACGGCACTCATCAGTGAACAGGACTGTTTGAAAATTAGTCTTCATGTATTTTTTCTGCCCAATGCAGCCGTTTCTCCTTGTGAGCATTGGTTAGTGGTGGCCGAATAGAAGGTTTATGCACAGTTGCAAGACTCTGGAGGACTCTACACCTTGATGTCCTTGGGACTCCAGAGGCACCAGCAGCTTCAAATATCTGTTTGCTGCTATGTAATGGTACTTTAGCAGCTGCTCTCTTGATCCGATGCATGGATCTGGCAGAAATCTTCCTCAATATGCCTTTATCTGCACGAACCAGTCTGTGCTCTGAATCAGCCACAAATCTCTTAATAGTGCGATGATCACGCTTAAGTTTTTGTGAAATATCTAATGTTTTCACACCTCGTCCAAGGCATTGAACTATTTCACTCTTTTCGGCAGCAGAGAGATCCTTTTTCTTCCCCATATTGCTTGAAAATGGTGCTCTGCTTAATAATGTGGAACACCCTCCTTTAGTAGTTTTTCCTTAAATTGGGCTCACCGGACAATCTAATTATCACAGGTGTTCGAGATTGTTTTCATTGATCAAAAGAGCCCTGACACACAATGCCATCCATGAGTTAAACTGAAAAACAAAATATTTAATCTTTGTGACACTTAAATAGAATTTGCATAATAATTTGGAACAGGGTGTATTTGCATAATAATTTGGAACAGGGTGTATTGAAACACTTGACACTGTACATTTATAGTTACATTTTATATAAATGTTTCAGAATGTTCTTTCATGGGGTGGCTAAAGCCTAGTACACACAATTTAAAATTTTTTTATTTATTTTTTGAGCGATCGTCCGATAATCTGATCATGGTACACTGCTTTTGCGAGTCGAACGTAACAGTTCATGCAAAATTATTTGAAGGGACAAGCATGAAATTTTTTTCGCATAAGATAACACAACAAAAAGACTAAATCAAGTGACCAAGACTTGGGCATGCTCAGAATTGAAAGAATATATTACAGTACAATGCATGACATCATGGGAAGCTGTGTTAAAATTTTTTGTAACTCTAGTAACCTAATCATTTTCGAAATTAGGCTAGCATGCAAAAAAAAAAGCTGGTGATCATTCATCTGCTATTCTCATCGTGTGTACCTGGCTTTAAAGATTTCTGTGCAGATTTCTGTGTAGAATTTAAAAATTGATGACTTTGTAACGCTATGGTAATTACAAAGAACTGATTCTATTTTCTCTTTATAGCTGCAGCTAAAACAACTCCAGCATCAAAAACCCGTAAATCAGATACCAGTAGCAGTGAAGAGTCAGAAGACAGCACACCGGCAAAGGTAAAATAGTGCTTGTGTCCTTAACAATTTTTTTTTTTTTTTTTTTTTCCTCCTATTAATCAATAATTTGTATCTCTAACACATGGGTGTCAAACTGGTGGCCCTCCAACTTTTGCCAAACTACAAGTCCTATGAGGCACTGCAAGATTGACAGTTTACAAGCATGACTCTCAAAGGCAGAGGCATGATGGGACTTGTAGTTTTGCAACAGCTGGAGGGCCACCAGTTTGACACCCCTCTAACAGGTCCACACACATTGGCTCTAATTCTGCCATACATTTTTACTTTTTTTTTTTTTTTTTTTTTTTTGAAAAAATGACCTGTTGGTGCTATTTTGCATTCATCCATTTGATCAATTTTTGTAAAAGCGGCCACTAAGTGGTTTTAAATCGCACCAATGTAAATTCTACATGTGGCTGTAATGGTATGTAAACAAATTCCACCACAATAGCAGCAGTGAGTTGTTTTTTTTTTTTGGTTTTTTTTTTATACTCTCTCATTTTAGAAGAGATCTGGCAGCTACAGACCTCGATCGTGCTCGATCGCTTCTACTGTGCTTTTAGTGTGTATCCTAATACCCAACCATGATAGTTTTCTCCATCTCTCCTGTAAGGTATGAACTCTTTAAGTGCTCAGCTATGAGCACTTCTGTTTAAAAGTTGTCAATTGCTGGCATGGTAAAGACAGGCAGACAAAGACAGGCAGATTTGTGGGCTGCCTGAGTCAACGGGCATCACAAGGAGTAGTAATCCCAGTTCCTGTAGATTAAAGTTTTGAAGGGTGTTTTTCAACCCTATTCACAGTTCAAAACCAAATGGAGGTATTCAGCTCATTTTGGTCTTAAAATACTTAAACTGATACCTGCGTGTCCCCAAATTCTGCATGGAGTCTGCAAAATCTGTCTTCACTTGTCTTTAGATCAGGGAAATTTCTAACATCAATGAACATCCAAAATGCCTATAATCTTGTTTCCAAAATGCCTAACGTTTTCAACACTGTGCTCTGGAAGACCAATATTTTCAATTTGTTACTCTGCCATTTAGGCTCTCCACTGCACCAAGAGTCCTCACAAAAGCGCTTTCTCCATCCATGGCCCTGGTAATATCTTAAGGTGTCCGTGTCACTGGGGGTACCTGGACATCTTACTTCTGAGATTCCACAGCCAGGGTCTTGTCCTGCAATATTCAAAAGACAATCCAGTCCGTTCAAACATTCAGATTGCTAATCAACTTCAAGAAGTCTGGCCTCCAGCCTTCCCAGTTTTTGAGTCTGATCTTGAACACAATCCAAGCCAAAATTTTCCTTCACCAGGAAAAAAGGTTGCGTCTCTGAGGTCCTACTGCTGGACTCTCATGTCAACCAGGCACCCCTTGACTCTTCTGTTTTGAGGGTATTGGGTCTCATAGTGGCCTCCTTTTTTGAGTTGTTTCCCTTTGTTCAGCTCCAAACAAAACCTTTGATGCAAGCCTGATCTCTCCTGGGCAGAGAACCACATTACAACCCTGTCCACATACAAGGAGTGGAAAAGTGGCAAGTGGACTGTGATTTGCCAATGCCTGGGGAGTGGTTTCTTCATCTTGAGATCTGATGATCCTCTGTCTGAAATGGAGAACACCAGATGTGGACATCATGGCTTACAGAGCCAGCAAGAAACTGGACAGATTTATGCCTAGGCATTCCCTGGCCTTTGCAGTGGATGCCTTGGTCTCCCCATTCAGACCGGTGTATGCTTTCCCTCCATTGAAGATTCTTCCTCGACTGTTCCACAAAATAGAGAAAAAGGATGGTGGTGATCCTTGTTGCTCCAAAATGAACCAGGAGAACTTTGTATACAGACTCCTGGTAGACAAACTTTCTCTACAGGCCAGACCTCCTGTCACATGGTCTTCTGTTCAACCTGGCTTCGCAGTCGCTGGATTTAAAGGAATGGCTGTTTAAAACCCAGGTTCTGAAGAATAGAGTCATTGCTATCACTTATTCTAACCTCGAAGGTGAGAAAATCTACCCCTCATCAGATCTACAATTGCGTCTTGATGGCCTACTTTGGCTGGTGCAAGAGCAGGCACCTCAACCCTTGGGAATTTTCTATTCCGTGGATCCTAGGCTTCCTCCAGTTTGGTCTGGACCAGTATCTGGCTCTTAGTACTCCTAATGGGACAGGGTTCTACTTTATCCATTCTATTCTGGAAACATTTGGCTTAGTAGACTCTTGTCAGGACCATTTGTGCAAGTAGTTGCTCATGTTAATATCCCATTCTGGCTTCCTGTCTCCCTGGCATCTGAATCTGGTACTTATAGTTTAAAAAAAAAAAATCCCTTCAGACCAGGTACTGGATTAACCTTGGGTGATCCTGTGTGTAAAGTGGCCTTTTTGGTGGCCATTACCTCCGTCAGGTGCCTGTATGTGGTCAGGACACTTGGGGTTTACCTTGCATGTAGCATCTCCCTTCAGTCTTTTATTCTCCCTGAAAGTCCCAAAAGGGTCATCATGCTTCCTTTCTTCATTGCTAGTTGGCTCATGCAGCTCACTTTTAGAGCTTACACCTTCAAGGAACAGGTTCCTTCCTGTGCTATCAGGATTCGTTCCATGATATCTTTTGGTGTTTTTGGGCTTTACAGCATCAAGCATCAGTTTTACAGGTTTGCAAGAATGCCACCTGTTCTATTCATACATTTTCAGTTTTACTGGATGGATCTTCAGGCCTCTGCTGATATGATTTTCAAGCTGTCATTTGATTGCTTTGGGTCCATTTACCCTTGGTTTTTGTAGGCTTGTTTACTGCTATTTGCTATATTGCTGCCTTTTTTTATTGCTTGGGACATTCCATTATCTGAGATTTGTTGTCCTTTACTGGTAAGTCCCAATCCCATCTTAACTGTTAAAGTAAATTCCATATCTTACAGGATACCTCTTTTTTTTTGCTTGCTACAACACTGGAGTCTTATGGAGTGAGTGGAGTTATGAGGGCAAGGAAAGCAAAAAAAGGCGCACTGTCTTCGTGCATTACCGTGGTAAAAAAGATTTATTAAAAGCATAAAGGTGCATACTCACAAACCAAAGGAGATATAAAACAGAGACAAAGCCAGTGGTAACATTCCCGGATAGCGGGGGGACCCTAGATGTAGTTACTGACGTGTTTCAGGAGACGCACTCCCTTCTTCAGAGCTAAAAAAGGAGTTATGAGGGTGCACTGAGTGCGTTCCAAGCAAAGCTTTCGATCACCTGAAAGTAGTGGCATTTAACCCTATGACTTCTGTACTGTACTCTATATAGGATTTACTGGTAAGTCACAAATCCCATTTCTTGCACTTAAACACACACAAAATGCTTTCAATGGTTTATTTAACAGGCCAAAAGGGAGAAAATAACAATTCATTGCTAATGTTTACGTACACTTTGGGTACTTTCACACTGTATTGATGTTTGAACATCAGTATTCATAGCCAAAATGTGTTTGTTTGTACATATATTTGTGTGTGTATACAAGTAAAATAAATTCTAGCTCTCAGAATACAATTTTGACCTTTTCAAATGACCATTTTTTTTGTGCATACATATGTAAAATATTGACTGACAAATCAGATTTTGTTTTTTTTTTTCCTGTTTTTTTTTAATCTCCCGTCTATACGCAAAACACGTTTGTGCCTGTGCGCAAAGGCACATTGAAAACAAATCTGTCTTTAGATCACAAAAACATGCATGCATGGCTAAAGATGCTGAGTTTAGACAGCTGTGTGCAAGAGGCCTTTAAGAAAACTATTTACTGAGAGACATTGATGGGACTCGCATCACCTTCTAAAAACATTTGTTCTCTGGTTGCCCTATATTTAATACCGAGTCACTAACCTGAAGCAAGCATGCAGATTAGGAGTGAAGTTAGCACTACTGAATGCATTGTTTTCCCAGGTTTATGTCTCTAGGCATTAACAATCAGCTTATACTTAAAAGGCCACCAGGTAACCATAAGGAGAGGGCATAAATAGTATATCTATATTTCAGTACAAGTTTACTGAACCTGCTATGCTTTGTATGACTTTTTGAAAATGTAACTTGTTTAAATTTTTATATTGCAGTCGGCTATTATACATACTCCTGCCAAAGCTGCTGCAGCGAAATCTCCCGCAGCATCCAAACCTGCAGTGAAGAAGGTAGCAGGCAGCAAGAAAAAATGCTCCAGCAGTGATGATTCTTCAGACAGTTCTAAGGATGAAAAACCTGCAGCAAAAACTAAACCAAAGCCAGGTGAGAAATGGTGGCCTGTTGTTGACTGTTATTAACCACTTGTCGACCATGCTATAGTCAAATAACGCCTACAATACGGTCGTCCAGTTCTGGGAGGGCGTCTATTGATGTTCTCCCAGAACTACACGCCCACTGCGTGCGCCTTCGCCCCTGTCTGCCGTCGGACACAGCTGATCACAATTCACGGTAAAGGGCCAATCACAACGGCCCTTTACCACTTCATCTGCTGTGCCCAATCACAGCTGATCATGATGTAAATACACTTGCCAGTTATCAGCAGTACTTTCCTTGTGCTGTCACAGCGTGAGGAAAGTACTGCTAACTGGCAAGTGTGAAGGGGGACATCTACATCAGGGCACTGATTATCATTGCAGCCCTAACTGTGTCCATCAGTGCTGCCTATCAATGTCAAGCAGCGTCCATCAGTGCTGCCTATTGGTGCCCTTCAGTGTTGCCTATCCATGCCCATCAGTGCCGCCTTATCAGCACACATCAGTGAAGGAGAAAGAGATTACCTGTTTGCAAAATGTTTTTTAGTAGAAACGAAGAAAAACTTGTGAGTGGTTTTTTTTTTGTTTTTGTTTTTTTTTTTTCTAAATGTTTGGTCTTTTTTAATTTGTTTAACAAATAATAAAACACCTGGTGGTGATTAAATACCACCAAATAAAGGCTCTATATGTGTGAAAAAAGAAATTTCATATGGGTACAGTGTTGCATGACTGCGCAATTTGTCATTCAAAGTGCGACAGTGCTGAAAGCTGGAAATTGGCCTGGGCAGGAAGGGGGGTAAAAGTGCCTGGTAGGCGAGCAGTTAATGAGAAAAAAATAAAATCAATTTAAACATCTGTAGTATCAGGTTACAACATTAAAAAAGGGGCTGAATACTTTGATATGTATAATTAATATATTACACACACAGTGGATATATAAAGTCTACATGCCCCTGTTAAAATGTCAGGATTCCGTGATGTAAAAAAAGACAAAGATAATTCATTTCAGAACTTTTTCCTTCTTTATTGGAACCTATAAACTGTACAACTCAGTTGAACAACAAACTGAAATATTTTAGGTGGAGAGAAGTGAAAATAAGTATAAGTGTGCACACCCTTAAACTAATACTTTATTGAAGCACCTTTTTGATTTTGTTACAGCACTCAGTTGTTTTTTGGGTATGAGTCTATCAGCATGGCACATTTTAACTTGGCAATATTTGCCCACTCTTCCTTGCAAAAACATTCCAAATCTGTCAGATTGCGAGGGCACCTCCTGTGCACAGCCCTCTTCAGATCACCCCACAGATTTTTGATCGGTTTCAGGTCTGGGCTCTGGCTGGGCCATTCTAAAACCTTAGTCATCTTCTGGTGAAGCCATTCCTTTGTTGATTCGGATGTATGCTTTGGGTCCTTGTCATGCTGAAAGATGAAGTTCCTCTTCATGTTCAGCTTTCTAGCACAAGCCTGAAGGTTATGTGCCAATATTGACTGGTATTTGGAACTGTTCATAATTCCCTCTACCTTGACTAAGGCCCCAGTTCCAGCTGAAGAGAAACAGCCCCAAAGCATGATGCTGCCACCACCATGGGTATGGTGTTCTTTTGGTGATGTGCAGCGTTGTTTTTGCGCCAAACATACCTTTTGGAATTATGGCCAAAAACCACCACGGCGCCACCTGCCTGGAGTTTGCATGTTCTCCCTGTGCCTGCGTGGGTTTCCCCCAGGTACTCCGGTTTCCTTCCACACTCCAAAGACATGATGGTAGGTTAAGTGGATCCTTTCTAAATTGGCCCTAGTATGTATGAATGTAAGTTAGGGACCTTAGATTGTACGCCCCTGGAGGGTTAGGGCTGATGTGAAAGCACGATCTATATGTAAAGCACTGCGTAAATGGAAGGCGCTCTATAAGTACTTGAAATAAATAAAATAATAAATAAAAATAAAAAGTTCAACCTTGGTTTCATCAGACCATAACACATTTTCCCACATGCTTTTGGGAGACTTCAGATGTGTGTTTGCAAAATTTAGCCGGGCTTGGATGTTTTTCTCAGTAAGAAAAGGCTTCTGTCTTGCCACTCTACCACATAGCCCAGATATATGCAGAATACAGGAGATTGTTCTCACATGTACCACACAGACAGTACTTGCCAGATATTCCTACAGCTCCTGTAATGTTGCTGTAGGCCTCTTGGCAGCCTCCCAGACCAGTTTTCTTCACGTTTTTACATCAATTTTGGAGGGACGTCCAGTTCTTGGTAATGTCATTGTTGCGCCATATTTTCTCCACTTGATGCTGACTGTCTTCAGTGTGTTCCATGGTATATCTAATGCCACTTATGCAACCGCATTATTTTAGTTTGTTTACACCCCCCCCCCCCCCCCCCCCAAAAGATTTCAGTTTGCTTTTCAATTGAGTTGTACAGTTTATAGGTCACTTTTAAAGGTGGAAAAAGTTCTGAAATGATCCAACTTTGTCTAATTTGTTTACTTCACAGAAACTGACATTTAACGGGTGTGTAGACTTTTTCTATCCACTGTATATAATTTTTGGGGTTTTTTTTTAACTGTTTAGAGCAGTGGGCTTTTTTTGAACAGTAAACTACCCCTGTGGTTTATTTGGTACAATACTGTTTAGGGCTTTTGGGCCGAACTGATACCTGGAAAATACAAACATTCCCCCACTCACTGCAAGGGTTAAATAAGATCATTTACTTAACCCTATTCTTCTTTGCTCCCCCTGCAAGTAGCACTTTCTTTCTACATCCTAGAGTGTGGACTGATTCTCAGTGTCCTCAAATACAATGCAGGACTGCTGGTGCTGCATTGTGCATGATGACATAAGAGAGGTGGTTGGGCAGTGAAGATTAGTGGGCATTGGTGGACTGGTCTTGGAGCACAAAGGAAACCTATGGGAACGGTGAATAAAAGTAAATATATCACTATTCACTATTCAACCCCCCCCGTGCAAAATGAGCAATTAAACCTTGCAATGTGGTGATTAATTACATGCATGCATCTCTCCCATGTCATACCCACATTTTGCTTCTAAAATGTTAGGCATTTGTAAGATTTGGATTTGCAGCATTAAACTGTATTATTGGATATTTATGGCTAGACCATAAATGAAAGGTTGCTGACATCTGGCCAGTTGTGTGATTTTCTTGTGTCCAGCATGAAAACCACTTATTGCTGTGTAACAATTTGTAGGTGCATACAGTGCTGTACCTCCGCCTGCATTTGACAAGAAAGAAGCCACTCTAAAGGCTACTCCCAAGGCAAATGCTAAAAAAGCAGAAAGCAGCAGTGATTCTTCAGACAGCAGTGAGGAGGAGCAGCCAGCAAAAAAAGGTATTTGTATTGTTTCCTGAATTTTTCAGTTACCTGTCTGTTTGCTTTCCTCTATTGCTGCACGCACACATTTAATGAATAACAAATCTTTTGCCTGATGATAGCAAGACTTGCTGCCTACACACGACAGGCAGTGTGTGTGTTGAATATAATTTTCGAAATGATTGCCAGCTCTTTTCCCATGTCGTTTTTCCTTCCTATTGGTGTATTTTGGGTTTTTTAACTATTTTTGATATTTTTTTTATTTTTGTAGCCACGGTCACACCAAGAAAGGCCCCTGCATCATCAACCAAACCTGTGGCAAATAAAGCTAAAGAAGAGTCCAGTGATTCAGACTCAAGTGATGAAGATGAGAAGACTGCTAAACCAGGAGTGAAAAAACTGCCTGGCAAGCCTGCTACAGTCACAGCTAAACAAATTGTACCAGCTAAGGGTGCTGTTAAATCTGTACAAGCAAAGAAGGATTCCAGCTCCTCTGACAGCTCTGGTGAGTGAGTACATGTGGCATCAGATTCAAAGTATCTCATCACATTGCTAAACGAATGTGCTCACAAACTGAACACGGGTTATCTAGAAATACAAAACACTAGAAATATTTTACCATTTGTCCAGTTATTTACAACTTAGTTTATTCTGAATTCTCAGACTATAGCCATAGTATGTTTTGCAGCTTATGCATAAAACCATAAATCACATCCCATAATGGTTTGTCCGTTCTAAACCAGTGAGGAATTTCTAATGCATGCTGGGACAGTCCTTCTGTGACAAAATAAAACCTTGGATGGTAGTGTGTTTGTCAGTATAAGGGCTGGCTGCTCCCACTCATAAATCGAATGACGTAAACTTTTTCTTGAGACCAGTATCATGTGCTTAAAAAAATGTCACTATAAGACCCTGTACTTCTTGGGAGTGTACAGATTGTGTAACTTCTTTTGAATGCTGTGCATAGGTCCTCTTGCATATATGTGGCAATAAGTCTTCAGTATGTACACACCTAAAACTTTCATAATGCCAACACAGATTGTAATAGAGTAACTCTTGCGTTTGCCTACCCAGACTCAAGTGATGAAGAAGAGATGAAAAAAACTCCAGCTAAGCCCACAGCAAAAACTCCACCGGCAAAACCTGCCAAGCAGACACCAGTCAAAGCTGCCAAACTGGCACCAGCCAAAGCTGCTGCCAAGAAGGATGTCAGTAGTTCTGATAGTTCTGGTGAGATGCTGTTTGCTTTTTTTTTTTTGGGGGGGGCGAAATTAAGCATCATTAGGCCCTTTTTTGGCTCCAGTTTTAACAGTCCATAAAATGGTTGCAGTTGCATTCTTTTTTTAGATATGCAAAGAATACACTAAAATTTATTTTATTTTACCAGACACAATATAAGAAATTTTTTAGTAAACTAAAGCATGGGATTGTGTCTAGTAAAGAGCTACCACGTCTCCAACCTGCGCGTGCCCATAAAATGGATAAAAATTACGGTACCTAAAGTTTTTCATGATTGACGATTCGAAAGCCTTAACAGGTTACCAATTGAGTTAACCATAAATCCTGGTTCTAGAATTATTGCTCTCATTTTTGAGTTTCACCACAGTATCTCACATGTTTACATGCACGCGTGGGAGCTACAGTATCTCACAGGAGTACACACCTCACATTTTTGTAAATATTTTATTTTATCTTTTCATGTGACAACACTGAAATAATTACACTTTGTTACAATGTAAAGTAGTGAGTGTACAGCTTGTATAACAGTGCCTCAGGTGTGAATGGGGAGCAGGTGTGTTCAATTTGGTGTTTATCGCTCACTCTCTCATACTGGTTACTGGAAGTTCAACATGACACTTCATGGCAAAGAACTCTCTGAGGAGCTGAAAAGAAAAAGAATTGTTGTTGTACATAAAGATGGCCTAGGCTATAAGTAGATTGCCAAGACCTTGAAACTGAGCTGCAGCACGATGGCCAAGACCATACAGCGGTTTAACAGGACAGGTTCCACTTAGAACAGGCCTCGTCATGGTCGACCAAAGAAGTTGTGTGCACGTGCTCAGCGTCATATCCAGAGGTTGTCTTTGGGAAACATATGAGACATATGAGTGCTACCAGCATTGCTGCAGAGGTTGATGGGGGTGGGGGTCAGCCTGTCAGTGCTCAGACCATACACCACACACTGCATCAAATTGGTCTGCATGGCTGTCATCCCAGAAGGAAGCCTCTTCTAAAGATGATGCACAAGAAAGCCCGCAGACAGTTTGCTGAAGACAAGCAGACTAAGGACATAGATTAGTGGAACCATGTCCTGTGGTCTGATGAGACCAAGATAAACGTATTTGGTTCAGATGGTGTCAAGCGTGTGTGGGGGCAACCAGGTGAGGAGTACAAAGACAAGTGTGTCTTACCTACAGTCAAGCATGGTGGTGGGAGTGTCATGGTCTGGGGCTGCATGAGTGCTGCCGACACTGGGGAGCTACAATTCATTGAGGGAACCATGAATGCCAACATGTACTGTGACATACTGAAGCACAGCATGATCCCCTCCCTTCTGAGACTGGGCTGCAGGGCAGTATTCCAACATGTTAACGACCCCAAACACGCCTCCAAGACGACCACTGCCTTGCTAAAGAAGCTGAGAGTACAGTTGATGGACTGGCCAAGCATGTCTCCAGTCCTAAACCCTATTGAGCATCTTTGGGGCATCTTCAAATGGAAGGTGGAGGAGCTCAAGGTCTCTAACATCCACCACCTCCGTGATGCCGTCACGGAGGAGTGGAAGAGGACTCCAGTGGCAACCTGTGAAGCTCTGCTGAACTTCATGCCCAAGAGGGTTAAGGCAGTGCTGGAAAATTAATGGTGGCCACACAAATTATTGACACTTTGGGCCCAATTTTGACATTTTCACTTAGGGGTGTACTCACTTTTGTTGCCAGCAGTGTAGACATTAATGGCTGTGTGTTGAGTGTTTTTGAGGGGACAGCAAATTTACACTGTTATACAAGCTGAACACTCACTACTTTACATTGTAGCAAAGTGTCATTTTTTTCAGTGTTGTCACGTGAAAAGATATATAATATTTCCAAAAATGTGAGGAGTGTACTCACTTCTGTGAGATACTATATATGGGCTTTTGCATTCGTGTGTGTGCGCCTGGGGTGGGGACGTGTGTGTGTGTGTGTGTGTGTGTTTTTTTTTTTTTCACAGATTCATTTTTTTACAGTTTTTATTTCCCATTTACTACATTGATTTCACATCAACCATTAATGGCACCCCAAGTGTGACGCATGCACACTGCTCGCATTCCCAAAAAAACACAGATATGAATAAAGCCTTGATGTGTTACTGGTTGTTGTATAAAAAAAAAAGTTTCTATTCTCTATGCAGACTCCAGTGATGATGAAGAGAAGAAAAAGGCTCCAGCTAAACCAGCAGTGAAAACGACCCCTTCAAAGCCTGCGGCAAAAGCGGTTCCCGCCACCAAAAAAGACACTAGTTCTTCTGACAGTTCTGGTATGTTGGTATTAAACTAACTCAACAATGACAGAATCATTTTATTTCCTGTATACTTGCCTATTCTGAGCAAAGGAGAAAGATCTTGATTGCTGTATAAGTAATAGCTGCCAACACCACAGGAGGAAAAAAAATTTAGGAGCACTAGTCAGGGCTTTAACGACTCGCCCACAATTTTAACGTGGGTGGACGGCATGTACAGTTACTGCCACGTACCTGTACGTTGGCACCTTGTACCAAGAGCGCACGACCATATTCCTCTCCACGCCACCTTCCCCATCCAGTATTCCAGTATATATACCATAGATTGTAGACTCTATAACTTTCTCACAAACCAATCAATATACACTTATTGGTTTTTTTTTTTTTTTTACCAAAGGCATGTAGCAATTTGGCCTAAAATTTATGTAGAGATTTTTTTACTTTTTTTAATTTTTATTTCTTAATTGGATGTTTTATAGCATAAAGTAATTTAAAAAAAAAGCTAATTTTTTGGTCTTTTTTTTTTCCTTTTATATAATGAAAAATAAAAAATCCAGTGCTGATCAAATATCACCAAAAGAAAGCTTTGTGTGAAAAAAAATGATTTAACTTTAATTTGGGTACAGTGTTGCATGACCACGCAATTACCAGTTATGGTAGCACAGTGCTAAATAGCCTGGTAATGAGTGGGGTAAAACCTTCTGGTTGTCAAGTGGTTAACATTAAATGGTATTTGGGCAATAACATGTTAGTCTTGGGATGCAGCTCTGTCATGGGCAGGCCAGTTGATAGTGTTTCAGCCAGGGAGAGAATGAGTGAGTGAAGGAGAATCAAAATAGTGAATGCACAAGTAGTCAATAAGAATTTGGACCAGCAGAGGCATAAGTGGTATTGAGATTGTAGGAGGATGTGGTGGTGGTGTTGCATATCATTCGGTAGTGAATAGATAAGGAATGCAGGCATCAAAACTGACTTAATCTAAACAATATAGCACTGATGACTTTTTTTTTTTTTAGCTTCCAGCAGTGCTTTGTGAAGATCTTGTTTACTTGAGCACAAGTTCACTTTATTTCCTCACCCCACATGCAATGCTAGCTTTAATTGTAACTTTATCATCTGTTTTCTCATTATGACTTTTATTACCCCAGACTCTGACAGTGAGGAGGATTCCACTAAGAAGGCTGCCAATAAGCCTGCTCCAAAACAAGCTGCTGCAACAAAACCGGCACCTGCCAAGCAGATAGAGGCTGGTAAAAAGATGCCAGCTAAAGCGCTGACCCCAAAGTCTACAGGAACAGTAAAAAACAAGATAACTAAACAGAGCAGCAGTTCTGATAGCTCAAGCAGTGAAGAAGAAAAAACAGTTAAAACAGTTAAGTCACCAGCTGCCAAGAAACCGATTCCTGTGAATAAAACAAAAGCCAGTAGCAGCTCTTCATCAGACAGCTCCGATGATGAAGCGAAACCTAAAAAAGCAGCTGTGAAAAATGGAGTCAAGTCCGTCCCAAAGAAAAAAGAAAGTAGTTCTGAAGAGAGCAGCTCCGAAGAAGATGAATCAAAGATATCGACTACCTCAAAGTCCCCAAAAGCAGTTAAACCCGTCACCACTCCCAAGAGTGCAAAGTCCACACCAAACACTTCAGCCAAGAACGCTGAAGAGAGTTCAGAGGAAAGCTCCTCCAGTGAGGAAGAGGAGAAAGAAGTCAAAGTGAATGGTATGTCAGTTTCTTCTCTTCGAAACAGTCTTTAAAGCATTTAGTTACTGTAGTTTTCTATTGTTTGTACACCATTTTGTTTTTGGTGTTTAATTTTTTACTATTATGGCTTAAAGAGAGGCTCCACCTAAAAGGGAAAGTTCTGCTTTAAGTATGCCATTCCTGCTCCTCTTGAAGAATTTGCACTTTTAAGGGGCGATGGTATACCTGCTTCTACTTCCGATCCGACCGTCTTGTCAGAAGTTTGTCTATGAGAAAATAATTTGTATAGAATTTATGGAAATACAGTAAAGGAAATAAGTATTTGATCCCCTGCTGATTTTGAATGTTTGCCCACTCACAAAGAAATGATCAGTCTAAAAATCAAATGGTAGGTGTATTATAACACTGAGAGACAGAATAGCAACAAAAATTTCAAAAGAAATGCACGTCTAACAAATTATGCACTGATTTGCATGTTCATGAGGGAAATAAGTATTTGATCCCCTTCACAAAACACGACTTCGTATTTGGTGGCAAATCTCTTGTTGGTGATCACAGAGGTCAGACGTTTCCTGTAGTTGGCCACCAGGTTTGCACACATCTCAGGAGGGATTTTGGCCCACTCCTCTTGGCAGAACCTCTCCAAGTCTTTTAAGGTTTGGTGGTTGACGTTTGGCAACTCGAACTTTCAGCTCCCTCCACAGATTAAGGTCTGAAGACTGGCTAGGCTACTCCAGGACCTTAATGGGCTTCTTGAGCCACTCCTTTGTTGCCTTGGCCTTGTGTTTTGGGTCATTGTCATGCTGTAACACCCATCCACGACTCATTTTCAATGCCCTGGCTGAGGGAAGAAGGTTCTCACCCAAGATTTGATGGTATATTGCCCCATCCATCGTCCCTTTGATGCAGTGCAGTTGTCCTGTAACCTTAGCAGAAAAAAACACCCCCAAAGCAGAATGTTTGCACCACCATGTTTGACAGTTGGGATGGTGTTCTTGAGGTCATAGGCAGCATTCCTCCAAACACGGCGAGTTGAGTTGATGCCAAAGCACTCGATTTTGGTCTCATCTGACCACAACACTTTCAACCAGTCCTCCTCTGCATCATTCAGTTGTTCAGTGGCAAACTTCAGACGGGCCTGGACATGTGCTTTCTTGAGCAGAGGGACCTTGCAGACACTGCAGGATTTCAATCCTTGTCGGCGTAGTGTGTTACCAATTGTTTTCTTGGTGACTGTGGTCCCAGCTGCCTGAAGATCATTGACAAGATTCTCGTGTAGTTCTGGGATGATTCCTCACTGTTCTCACGATCATTGACACTGCACAAGGTGAGATCTTGCATGGTGCATCAGACCTAGGGAGACTGACAGTTGTTTTGTGTTTCTTCCATTTGCGAATGATTGCACCAACTGTTGTCACCTTCTCACCAAGCTGCTTGGCAATAGTTTGGTAGCCCAGTCCAGCCTTGTGTAGGTCTACAATCTTGTCCCTGACATCCTTGGACAGCTCTTTGTTCTTTGCCATGGTGGAGAGATTGGAATCTGATTGTTTGATTGCTCCTGTGGACAGGTGTCTTTTATACAGGTAACAAAATGAGATTAGCAGCACTCCCTTTAAGAGACTGCTTCTAATCTCAGCTTGTTAACCTGTATGAAAGATACCTGATAGCCATAAATCCTACTGAATAATAGGGGATCAAATAGTTATTTCCCTCATTAACATGCAAATCAGAGCATAACTTGTTAGACATGCATTTCTTTTGAATTTTTTGTTGCTATTCTGTCTCTCAGTGTTACAATACACCTACCATTTGATTTTTAGATTGATCATTTCTTTGTGAGTGGGCAAACATTCAAAATCAGCAGGGGATCAAATATTTCCTTCACTGTAGGTGGGGATCTGGAATTAAGGAGATTCCCTATTACATGTCATAAATCAACTGATAATCTGAGTTCTTTTTTTGCGCTAATTTTGAATACAAAATAAAAAGCAATGATATGCAAAAATATATATTAATAAAATCAATGCAAAATGGTAATTAAAATATAATAGGAGATGATCAATAATAATCAAATCAAAATAGCAGTACAGTGATTTAATCAGAGTGGTTACAAATTCAAACTAGCAATATTATCAAATATTAATGAAATAGGACAAACTGTCTATGAATGCACCCCAAAAAACCTAGGGGGGCACAGCTCATCTCGCCTAATTATGATGTTAACACCAGGTGTCATTTTTCTCTACTAAATGATCCCAATTACCTGAAGGGGACAGTATAGGATTAGGAATGATTTAGGGTTTTTCCTAAAACCACCTGTACCCATATCAAGAGTTTACCTCTAACCCTTGGCTTGCAAAAATGCAATACATTTTAGAAGTAGACCGCTCTTTTGACAGAACTGGTTAGACAAACTGGGACCATTGTCACTTAAAATTATGTATTACCTAAGTGGTTCTGGAGACAAAAACATTCTCCCTATACATCTTACAGACATTCGTTGTGGTCATTTGTACTGAGATTTCTCAGTTATCTTACTGTAGAAAACATAAATGTTGAAAACATAATATCCATAATATATACCAGTATGTATTAATTGTTTAAAACCAATTAATAATATATATAAATATGGAAGTTGAATATAGGAATAAAAAAACCCAAATTATGTAAGCAAGTATTCACTTCATGCAATAATTTAAAATTTTTTGTTATAACATTCCTGTTAAATAATACTAAACACCATATGCAAAGTAAGTTTTAATATGATCTCTTTTCCAGAGGTTCATGGGGGGAGGAAAAGGATAAAAAATAATTGTGAATAGTTTTGTCCTGTTAACATCGAGACATGAACCCCTCAATTAAGCTTGCAACTCTGTATCAAGTCCAGTCTTAGGCCAGTGATGGCGAACCTTTTTGAGCTCGAGTGCCCAAACTGCAACACAAAACCAACTTATTTATTTAAAGAGTGCCAATGCTGCAATTAACCACTTGCTGACTGGGCACTTCTACCCCTTTCCTACCCAGGCCAATTTTCAGTTATCAGAGCTGTTGCACTTTGAATGACAATTGCACAGTCATGCAACATTGTACCCATATGAATTTATTTTCACAGAAATAGAGCTTTCTTTTGGTGGTATTTAATTACTACTGGGTGTTTATTTTTTGTACTATAAATGAAAAGAGAAAAAAATTTGAGATTTCTTTGTTTCTAATATAAAATTTTTCTCCTACGCTGATGTGCGTTGATGGGGTGGCACTGATGAGGAGACACTGGAGGGCATGGATGAGGAGGCACTGATAAGCGACACCGACTGCAGGCACGGACGGGTGGCCCTGATAATCAGTGCAGATCTCCCGTCACATCTGCCGGTTATCGGCAGTACTTCACGCTGTGACAGCGTGAAGAAAGTGCAGCCAATAACTGGCAACTGTATTTACATTGTGTGATCAGCTGTATCGTTGGACACAGCTGATCATGTGGTAAAAGGCTGCACGTGGGTGCGTGCCGCTGGGGTTGCACAGGGGAGCGTGTTCTGGGAGGAGGTCTATGGACACCCTCGAAGAACTAGACAACCACACTGTAGCCGTCTTTCGGCCATAGTGCGGTTGGATAGCAGTTAACCTCACCTCCCGGCAGTGTTGGTGTGGCGTGGTCCCGGAGCAGTGTGGGAGCCGCTTCTTCTCATCCATTCCCATCCCCGGATATGTCACCCCTGGCGCCAGAGCTGTGTGGAAGCCGCTTCCTCTCGTCCATGCCCACCCTGTTCCTAGAGGCATGTGGGAGATGTAGTTTGATGGGGGGTGCGGTGTGGATGAGATCTGGACGGCCGGTCAGTGTGCGCGGTCCATGTGAGCTCATCTTCCTCTTCTTCCTGGCGTGCCCACTGAGATGGCTCTGCATAGGTTTGCCATCACTGTTTTAGGCTGTCTGGTATAAATATCATCCCCTCCCCCCACATTACAACTTGGGAAAGTATGCTGTAAGAACCTGGGAATATCTGCCGTTAAGGTCTGTGTTCAGAATCCATGTATACCTATAGAATATACAGAACAGGATGGCTTCCAGCATGTCCATGTTATAGTATGTTGATAAGTTCAGGCCTTTCAGTTTAATTCTGTGAGTACGGAATAATTCCAACAGCGTAGGCGATTGGAAGCAGATGTTGTCCTCTACAGGGGTTATAACCCTCCATTATTTCAAAATGAAAAATAAAGTTTTGAGTGCAGCATTCCTAAAACCCTGGTTTACATTACTTCACATTTTCAGGTAATTCTGGAAAAAGAAAAAGGGAAGGTGATCAGGGGCTGACACCAAACAATAAGAAAATTCAAGTGAAAACGCCAAACACGTTCCCTAAGGCTAACAAGAAGGTGAGAAAATGAGACCGAAGAGTGACTACCATCTTGAGTATGGACTGTTGGAGATGAATGTATACGCCTTTATATTATTAAAGGTTTTATTTTTACCATGTTGCTGTAGACCTTGAATAAAACCCACAATTGTGTACATAGTCTTCATTGTGTTTTTGATGCAGTTATGGGCACCTAAATGTAACTGGAATGAACAACAGTCTGTTTGTTGTAGCTTTGATCTCACATCCAAACCTATACTTTTATAGTTATGAATAGAAGTATACAAAATTAAAACTGATTTTTCAGTTTTGGGGGTGCGGCAGATTTATTAAGTATGGACAGACATCAGCTTGTCCAGTTACTTTGTAGCTCCCTATATCTTTACGTTTTTTTTATATAGTAATTTGTCTCCATTCCCATTCTAAAATGCTTCATCAATGTTCCACCTACATTATGGAGAATTTGTGGGGCACCAACCTTTTGGATTTTGTAAACATTCCACTTTTACAGGCAACAAACTACACAGTTAAATATCATTTTATGTGTGGAGTTTGCTTTTAAGACCAGCTGAGCAAAATGACACAACACCTGATTTGTTTTGCTAGTGTGCACTTTTAAATGGGGAAGCAGAAATAGAGCCTGTTCTAAATAGACTGTTAGAGAATGAAACGAGACACGTCACTGGTTGCGATGAACAACTGCAGTTTTGCTTTAAAGGATAAGCTCAGGTAAAGAATGTGTGGTATTTCGGCTTGTAAAGCACTGCATCGATATCAGAAGTTTGCAGGATCCTGCAGACACTCAGTCAGCTGTCTGCTCATACCTCCCATATGGACAGTTACTGAATGGTAGGAAGAATCAATGAACTACAGCACTTCCAGTTCATTGAGAACTACAAACCATTAGCCACAGTGTCCGACAGTACTTGTAGTTCACTCACAGATCTCTGACGCAGCCAAATGAGTAGCCCCCCACATCTGCACTTTTTATAAATTGTGACAGCGGGTGCGGGGAGAGGATCCCCCGCTCTGTCACAGAGAGGGGGATCTGAGGGAGAGGATGCAGGAGTCAGAACAAAAAATAACCAATCCGCGCAGCGTTTGGGGCAACTAAACCCAATTAAATATCCACATAGATACCAAATACAAATAATTCATCATTAATGTTCATAAATTCCATAAACGTCAGTGACTGTGGAACACATATTGAATCGCCATCCGTGCTTGAACAAACTGGAAACATTTTTTGCTGAACACACTACCTGATGATGCCTACTCACCTCAAATAAATGACCCCCCAATTTAATGTTTGGTCAGAAATGGCCTTTTGTCCCTCCATGGACCTAGTGAAATAAAAAGTGGAAAATGAGCGCACGGAGGAGAAAAAAGCAGCCTGCATAAAAGGATAACCCTCTGCATCCTCAAAAATATATATAAAATGTATGATGCAGCGCTAGCATCATACGTTTTTATATACCTCCATGGATCTGATTGATCTCTTCTGCCATGTCAAAATCTCCTCCACACCTTCCGTACAGTACACTCTGCTTAACTCCTCCACTCCACCTCATACAAATAGACTTACCATAGTGTCTTGTCCTTTAAATTATTTATTGATCTCTTAAAAGCATGTAAAATTACACTCTCATGTTTGGCAGGTGCCCGAGCACACCGAGTATACAGCGTATTGGCAAATTATGAGAGATCGGCATTGTGCTGTGCCGTCTTTACCGCTACTTCATAACCATAGAACGTTGTGACATTATGCAGAGTCCCGCCCCAATGCGTTTGGTCACAGATCACGGGACTTCCTCGGGGGGCTCAGTAAGCGTGTAGAGGATAGTTTAGAAAAGGCAGAAAAGATTCATCAGGTCCACGGAGGGATAAAAGGCTGTTTCTGACCAAACATTAAATTGTGAGGTCATTCATTTGAGGTGAGCAGGCATGGTGGTGGTGTGTTCAGCAAAATGTTTTTCCAGTTTGTTCAAGCACGGATGGTGATTCAATGTGTGTTCCACAGTCACTGAAGTTTATGGACTTTATGTATATTGATGAATATTTTCTATTTGGTATCTGTGTGGATATTTGGGTTTAGTTGCACCGCGCGCTGCACTGATTTGGTTATTTTATGTAATACATAAAATAAATATGAGCTATGCAAAGGGTGTGTAGCTGCTGGTGGTCTGTAGAATTGTGTAAATTTAGGTTTGAATTTCTTTGATATTCTACACATTCAGAAGTTTTTATTTGAGCGGCTTGCAAGGTAGTATTGTTTTTTTAGGAGATGGAACATGTTACTTGTTCCAAAGGTGGACTTCTCTTTTAAAGCAGGAGTGTCCAAACTATGGCACTCCAGGTTTTGAGGAACTGCAAGTCCCATGAGGCCTTGCAACACTGACATCTACAGGCAAGACACCCAGAACCAGAGGCACGATAGGACTTGTAGTACTTCAACAGCTGAAGGGCCTTAATTTGGACACCCCTGCTTTAAAGGGTACGTAAACCCTAACCATGAACTTTATTTGCTTTTGTTTGATCCTTTGCTATTGAAAGTGCCTTGGAAAAATGCAAAAAATACAGGTTGATTTTGCGAGAAATCCAGCAATCTCCTAACTTCCTGCCCTCTCTACCTGGGCTGTTATTAGCTAGGATTTCTATTCAGTAGACTATAGAACTGCACCTCCTAGGTTATGGATAGGAGGGAGAAGTGTTATGTTGTCCTTTCCTGGAGTGACAGTATTGCTGTTCCATAGATACAGTAAAGTGAGTGTTGTCACCATTGGACAGGAAGTCTTACTTGCAGGATTACTAGGTGATAAAAGAACAAAGGCCTGATTTAAAAAAAAAAAAAAAAAATAATAATAAAAAAATTCAAATACATTAAGAACTGGTTAAGCTGCAGCACGAGATACAGATATAACATCTAATTTTTATTTTTCTGGAGTTTATATACTTGCATTCTCCTCTCCTAAGATTTGACGAGAACCGTTATAACTGTTTTATCCAGAGATTCTTAAACCGCTAAGTACATAATTGTAACTGGCCCTCCAAAGCAAGGAACTGCAGAAGTGAACCAGTGGGCAGTTTTCAAGAGCCCTTTGGATCTAAGGGGTGTATTTATGAAAGAAAATTGCTTAGTAATGTGTCCATTGAAAGTTCATATACATTTTGTGAATGAACAAAAAACATAGGTAAGTTTATTTTAAATTGATAAGTTTGTCCTGTACAGGAAATAGCCCAACATTTCTTTAATAAATATACCCCTAAGTGTTTGGCATATACTACCTACTTGCTGACTTTTCCGCTATGTTTCATCCTTTTGTATGTAGTCACCAGATATTTCCCAAAGTCTTTCAAATGAAGAGAAAACAAGTGAATGTGAACTGCCTGATGACTGAAGAAGCTCCTTAAAATGTCTGAGCGTTTTTTTTCATATTTTTATATCAGGTTAACACGGAGCAGAATTTAAAGAAAATTCAGAAACCCTGTTGGGCACCTTTTATGGAACACATAGAATAGCCAAAAAACCTTAAAGTGGAACACAAGGGAAAACTTTTTTTTTTTTTTTTTTTTTTTTTTAAATAGGAATAAATCAAATAAGTTGCTGTTATGACAACTGTCCTATGCCCAGCTCGCTGCTTTTTACTGACCAAATCTTCATTTCATTCATCCCATTTACTTCACTCTTCAGCACTGCGACTGCGAATTTGACGCTAATACAATAAAGGCAGTGACACCCAGTAATTTACTCGCCTTCTCTTCTCCCCTTAATCATTCACACAAAGTCTTGTACTTTCACAGAATTCCAAATGCTCTGTGAATGGACAAGGGGCAATCCTATTGTTTACCTGCCTCTCCTCGTCCTTTCACTCAGTGTTTTGTTTCTGTGAAAAGAATGCAAAGCTTTTTGTGAATGGGTGAGATAGTGAACTTCAGGGTCCCTTTAATGCATGAGAGCCAGAACTCTCAGTAACAGCACTGTAAAAAGAGCTTTGTGTATGTGGTATCAGGGATGAATGAAACTTAAGATTTGTGCAATGAACAGCAGTGTGTCAAACATGGGAGAAGTTCCCATTAGAGGTAACCTATTTAATTCTGCCTTTTAAGTACCAGAAGATAATACATGTTAACAGTAATGTTTACATTGTTTTGTAATAAAGAAAAAATACTGCAAAATTTCAGGGAGATACTAAAGGGAATCTTTTATGAAGCCAGAACATCTGACTCAAAAAAGAAAAAAAAAAAAAAAAAAAACCTCCCTATAAAAGGTGCAGTGACATCTTGACTGCATAGGTTACATAGCAGGGTATCGGAATACCTTCAGCTTTCCTTTTCTGGAGCTAGCATGCAGCCTTTAGGTCAAGGACTGGCGACTTCCACTAAAAAGTTCTGTGACAGATGCTTATGGCACAATAATTATCAATCTCCTGTCTTTTATGTAGTGAACCTTCTACATTACTGCGTGTAAATAAAAACATGCAGGCTTCTCACCATTCCCTGTGGGAAGACCTTATGATGGGCAAGAGATAAATATTGGCAAATGTCCTGTGGGTGGTAATCTTCGTCTAAAAGGACTGCATAGCCCCTCTAGCTGTCTCGCTCTGGAATTTGTTTACATGGTTTTTGTGTCTGGATTAGTTACTATTACAAAAAATGGCCACTGCCACGGTCTATAACTGGCTTTTTTTTTCCGGCTGGATTAGTTACTATACCTGTACTACTAAAATGAGACTGCATTCTGTTTAAAATGCAGCTTGAATGATTTATTAGTGTTTCTGTATTCTCTTGCAAAGTTTGATATTTATGTAATTAAAAGTAACCTTGAAAATGACTATGTATTTCCTGTTTATATTTGGATTTTTCTTTTTGATATGGTATAGGAAGGTCAGAATGTTCCATTCCGAAGAGTAGTGGAAGAGGATGTTGACGTTGACCCTCGAGTTTCTTGTAATTCATTTGAAGCAAAGGTAAAGTACAGTGTGTGTAGCATTTCCAAGCAAGGTGCCTTGTGGCACCAAACCGTTTTGCACCTCACGTATAGCTTGAGCATTGTTATCTGTTATTTAATTTGCTGCATTTTTATATTTGAACATTTAGCCCAACAAGCTGATGGGTCTGTGAATGGTAGAGGCATTTATCATGGCACTAAACGCAAGTTTTTGTTAAAGGAAAAACAAAGCATCATTCACTACAAAGTTTGTATTTTGATTACTGGAAAACATGGCAAGCTGTATAACCTATATGGCTTGAGTGAACTATCGTGACTGGTGGCATATTGTGCTCTTAGGCTTTATTCACACTGGCATTCTTGCGTTTAGTTTTTCAATGTGCAGAAGTCATCTGGGCAGTATAAACTAATTTTATGCCTACCAGATCAGTTTATTTCCTGCCTCATAGACGTTCTTGTTTTGAAGTGGATTTAGACACATTTACATGTGTTTAGCTGCAGTTAGTGTCTGGTCAGACTGTAGTAGAGAGCAAAAGAAAAGAGTGCACCAACCTTGCGCATTACCTCAGAAAACTGTTCATGAATTTATTGATAAATTATACTCACAATAGTAGCTGTAAAAAAGGCATATAACATCCAAAACCAACACAGGGTTGTAAGACACATGCGAGTTCCATCTGGAAGGTAAATAAACTCTTGGTCAATCTGATGCATTTCGAAGGAGGGTCCCTTCTTCCTCCGAGCTTAAAAGGTCTACACAAGGGGACCTAGATTGCTGGCAGGAATGATCTGTTTTCAGTATTCCAATAATACTTGGCAGCCTCACTGTTATCAATTTTCTAATTCACAGGAGGCATTCTGCCACTATGTCAGTGTTTCTGTCAGTTTTGCCTTTTGGATGTTATATGCCTTTTTTACTGCTACTCTTGTGAGTATAATTTATCAATAAATTCATGAACAGTCTACTGAGGTAATGCGCAAGGTTGGTGCGCTCCTTTCTTTTGTTCTCTACTACAGTCTGTATCGAGCTTCCCCAACTTCGTGTTAGAGCTGCATAACCTTTGACCAGTGTTGGATGAACATTATCATTGTATTCGATTGACCGTCCTCTGGTCTGAGTGCAGGAGGTGGTGGATGTGTGTCTAGTCAGTCAGCTCATAAAATTCTATTTTCTCTAAAAGCAGCTAAACTGACCACGCCTAAATGCAGGTAAACAGTCTGAATGGCAGCATTGAAAAAAATCATTACATGTGTTTATAGGTGCTTAGAAATGTTCTCAAAACACAGGTTTGACAATGCCAGTTTGAATGAGGCCCTATAGATGATGGATGCAGTTTACATTTTGTTCATTTTTGAATCTCCCTCTCCCCCCTCTACAGCATGCCCAATATTTTTATCTTCTTCCTGTAGCAAGAAACCATTCAAGCCTGATGCCCTTGGGCTTATGAAAATAAGCAGCACTTTTTTCTGCCAAAGCAGAACAAAGCCCTTAATGTTACAAAATGCATGCGCATATAGCATATTTGAGTTTAAATGCATTATACTGGCCAAAATATTTATTCTGGCCATTGGAATACATTTTCATATGTGTTTAGGTGCGTGCGTGCGTTTTTGCTCAAAAACTCCTCTGAGAATGCTCCTTTTGGCATGTTTTTTTGTTTTTTTTAATCAGTACATGGCCTCACAAGTGCTCTTTTGACTGAATGGGAACAAATTACTGCAGCCAAAATATTGTGGAAATTCTTCCCAAAATAATGGAAGCAGTTGTAGCTGCAGAGTAGGGGGAAACACTGTATTGATGCCCATGGTTTTTGGAATTGATTAAATATATGAACAAGCTCATTTTAAGTGCGATGGTGAGGTGTCCACTAACTTGGCTGTGTGGTGTATATGTAAGTACGTATCGAAAAAAACGAAACCTTTAGCTTCTAGCTTTGTTTCAGCCCTACAACCCTAAACCCTGACTAAATAAATTTTGATCTTGCAGTATACTTTTTACACCAATTATACATTTTTATTTATTTTTTATATTCCAGAAAGGATCAAAAGGAGACTGGGGCGAGAGAGCCAATAATGTTCTAAAATTCACTAAAGGAAAATCTTTCCGTCATGAAAAGACAAAGAAAAAGCGGGGCAGTTATTGTGGTGGTGCCATTTCTACATCTGTGAACTCCATAAAGTTTGACAGTGAATGAACTATTTTATTTTTATTTTATTTTTATTTTTTTTCAAACAATGAACTTCTTTCCGGATGGCCATACTTGAGGATTTTTTTTTCTGCAGTTCTCCACTTATAAATGTCAGCATGGAAGTTTACCTGGCCAGGAGTTGTCAGTGACAAAATTGTCATTTTCTGTGCATCTGTAAGAAAAGCAGAACTTGCTTTTTATGTCATTCATGAAAAAATTTGCTTTAGGAAGATGCTTTGTTTTCCTTATTTTTGCAGAAATTGAGAATAAATCGCCTCATGTTTTTACAACTTGATTTTTTTTTTTTCTAACATTTCATGTTGAGGTTTAAAATTGAAAAAATGTAGACGATAACCATCATTAAAGTGGACTTGTCAAAATACAGCTTAAAGTGTTGCTAAACCCACAACAGTAAAATCAGTCTGTATATGCAGTAAAGCATGCTTGTTATACTCGCCATGGAACTTATAGGGTTAATCCTCTGTATTGTGTAAATAGGATGTTTGATCCTGACTTCTCTGATCCTCCCCTTCTTCCACATTCCCCATTTCATCTGCTGATAGAACACAGCCTCAGGAACACTCTGCACATGCTCAGTTTGTTGGGTACTGCTGGAGTTTTATTATTTTTCTTGGGGAGAGTGCATGTGATCAGCACAGGTCCAATCAGCACTGTCAGGACAGAGGTCAGGGGTTATGCAATCTCATAGGGCAGTAAGAGGAGAATGAAAAATCCTCCTACAAGATTTAACCAGTGCTTAGCTGGACACTGATAGAGCAGTCTTCTGACTTCTAACGAGAAAAGGTATTTAACAGTGTATATTTACTAAAATAATTGCATTTCCATGTTCTGTGTCCTGTTGGAGACCAGATATAGTGAATGCAGGGTCCTGGGTTTAGTAACACTTTAAAAGCAGATAGTATGGATAACAAATGTCCTTTTTGATTCTATTTATTTTATATTAAATATAAACTTGTTCAGAGGAAGTATGGAAGCTGCCATTGCTGACCTCTTTTGAAATTACTAATTGCTGATCTATAATGATAATCAGTGGTTTTGCTGCTTAGTCTTTGACTCAGGACAAGTTTATGCAGCAGATCAGTGTTCTGACTTCAATTAACTTTACTAATCCTAAAGCAAGTGACCCTAAGTATGTCCCTCAATATTTCCTCATTGCAAGTTTCCATTAAAGGATACCTTTGGGGAGCATGTTACATATTCCACCTAATTTTAGGATGCAACATATAACGTTCTCTGCCCAAACACCACCCCCTGTGACAGGGGTCGAGATCCTCTCCCTGCAACTGCTGTCAGAGTGCAATCTTGCAGGGCTCCACCCACAGATCCGTGTCATTCATTCACACAGTTCTGTGAATTAATAGAATACAACTACCGACAGCATTTGCGGCTGCCAGGTTCTGGTTCTCAGTGAACTACAAGGCACTGGTGAGCGACCTCATAGTTCATTGATTCTTCCTGGATCGAGGTAACTGCCTGCCCCTGTATTGGAGGTACAGGTAGATAGAGAACAGCTGTTGTGATCTGGTGTGCAGAGATGTTCAATTTGTATCACCTGACGCCCGGGACATGTAGTTTAGCCCTGCTGCAGGCAAGCAGTAGGGCTCACCTGTTAGGTGGAAGTATTTGGCAGGAGTACTGCTGTCAATTGCTTCCACACAGCCACCTACAGTTCCCTCCTCCAACAAAATCACCTCGCCCACCAATCGCCGTCCTGGCAGTTATGTCTCCCAGGCTCTGCTTGCCCATCTGTGGGCCCTGGTCCTGTTCAGGGAGTGCCAGTGGATAGAGGGGAGGGAGGAGAGCGGACACTTGCTCCCCTGCCATTCTTGTCCTGACCCGGAAGTGATGTTATGTCACTTCTGGGTCCCCGTTGAAAGATTTCCCGGCCATCAAGGCTGGGAAAGAATGTAATGCTGCTCGATTGTGCACTGCATTACATCCAATGGAGTACAGGGGAGACATCCAGGGTCTTTTGGACCCTAGATGTCTCAAAGAGTACCTGTCACCAAAAATCATCACATAGGGAACTTTTTGTCACCTATCTGATGAAAAAAAAGTTGATAATTTTTTTTTTTTAAGTTGTAAAAAATTAAAAGTACACCCAAGCACATAACCCGGCCACCCCCACCACCACATACAGTGGGGCAAAAAAGTATTTAGTCAGCCACCAATTGTGCAAGTTCTCCCACTTAAAAAGATGAGAGAGGCCTGTAATTGGCATCATAGGTAGACCTCAACTATGAGAGACAAAATGAGAAAAAAAATCCAGACAATCACATTGGCTGATTTGGAAAGAATTTATTTGCAAATTATGGTGGAAAATAAGTATTTGGTCAATATCAAAAGTTCATCTCAATACTTTTATATATCCTTTGTTGGCAATGACAGAGGTCAAATGTTTCCTGTAAGTCTTCACAAGGTTGGCACACACTGTTGCTGGTATGTTGGCCCATTCCTCCATGCAGATCTCCTCTAGAGCAGTGATGTTTTGGGGCTGTCACTGGGCAACACGGACTTTCAACTCCCTCCAAAGGTTTTCTATGGGGTTGAGACTGGCTAGGCCACTCCAGGACTTTGAAATGCTTCTTACGAAGCCACTCCTTCGTTGCCAGGGCGGTATGTTTAGGATCATTGTCATGTTGAAGACCCAGCCACATTGCATTTTCAATGCCCTTGCTGATGGAAGATGGTTTGCACTCAAAATCTCACGATACATGGCCCCATTCATTCTGTCCTGTACATGGATCAGTTGTCCTGGTTCCTTTGCGGAGAAACAGCCCCAAAGCATGATGTTGCCACCCCCATGCTTCACAGTAGGTATGGTGTTCTTTGGATGCAACTCAGCATTCTCTCTCCACCAAACATGACGAGTTGTGTTTCTACCAAACGGTTCTATTTTGTTTTCATCTGACCATATGACATTCTCCCAATCCTCTTCTGGATCATCCAAATGCTCTCTAGCAAACTTCAGACGGGCCCGGACATGTACTGGCTTAAGCAGGGGGACATGTCTGGCACTGCAGGATCTGAGTCCCTGGCGGCGTAGTATGTTACTGTTGGTAGCCTTTGTTACGTTGGTCCCAGCTCTCTGCAGGTCATTCACTAGGTCCCCCCGTGTGGTCCTGGGATTTTTGCTCACCGTTCTTGTGATCATTTTGACCCCACGGGGTGAGATCTTGCGTCGGGCCCCAGATCGAGGGAGATTATCAGTGGTCTTGTGTGTCTTCCATTTTCTAATTATTGCTCCCACAGTTGATTTGTTCACACCAAGCTGCTTGCCTATTGCAGATTCAGTCTTCCCAGCCTGGTGCAGGTCTACAATTTTGTTTCTGGTGTCCTTTGACAGCTCTTTGGTCTTCACCATCGTGGAGTTTGGAGTGTGACTGTTTGAGGTTGTGGACAGGTGTTTTTTATACTGATAAGTTCAAACAGGTGCCATTGGTACAGGTAATGAGTGCAGGACAGAGGAGCCTCTTAAAGAAGAAGGTACAGGTCTGTGAGAGCCAGAAATCTTGCTTGTTTGTAGGTGACCAAATACTTATTTTCCACCATAATTTGCAAATAAATTCTTTCCAAATCAGCCAATGTGATTGGATTTTTTTCCTCATTTTGTCTCTCATAGTTGAGGTCTACCTATGATGCCAATTACAGGCCTCTCTCATCGTTTTAAGTGGGAGAACTTGCACAATTGGTGGCTGACTAAATACTTTTTTGCCCCACTGTATATACGCACATACAAATGTGAAAGCACACACCGGTGCGCCTACACATGACGTAGATTGCAATACACGTTACATATTGTCACACACACCAGAATGGGAGCAATAATTCTAGCACCAGACCTCCTCCGTAACCGTTAACTGGTGACCTTATAAGGGGCTTTAAAAGCCTCGTCTATAGAAAATATAGGGTACTAAAGTTTGTCGCCATTTCACAAGGGCACGCAAATTTGAGGTTTGACATGTTTGATATCTGTTTACTTGGTGCAACGTCCTATTTTACAAAAAAAAAAATGATGGGCTGAGTTTTATTACCTCCAAATAGCTGTGAAAGTAGTACAGGACACAGGCTGAGTAGTCATACATTCTGGGTCATTGGCTTGTACTTGGAAAATGGCAAAGCTTTTTAAAATAAGCCTCCTGGGCATCTCCCCTTTAGCCTTACCTCACTCTGTAAGTCCCCAGTTATTTGCTAGTGTTCTAAGGTGATGAACCTCTGCTCCCTATAGATTACTCTTAGCTTAACTAGTTCATTATTTTATCTTTGGAATTTTTCAATCAACTCTTCATGGTCATCTAATACAATAAAAGCAAAGCATCCAGATCAGTGCAGCCTTGGTAAAACCTTGAACAGCCTGTAATATTGCTTTGGGTACTTGTTCCTGCACGGTCGCTCACCTTGGCACTTTGTACAACATATGTAGCCAGCCACAGTGTGCTATACAGGTCCAGGGCGGTGATCCATCCCTCTGGAACCAAGAGCCAGAAGATCCTTTTGTGGGGGGGGAGGCCCACTGTTCACTCTATATGGGTCCAGTGTCATGGACTGGTAAGACAGAGACTGTTGCTGTAAAAATTGTGGCTATGTTTGGAATTTATTCACTTTTAAGTGTAAACTTTTCAAATTTGGTGCAAAACCACTCAGAGCTTAGTCTTAGGTGGATGAATAGGACAACACTGGTCGCACAATTTACCGCGACTTATGCACCTAGAGTGTGTTTCCACCCTCCCCTTCACCATGAGGACTTCAGTACATGTTGTCTACACCTGGGTTGATCTGTGCTCCTTCTGGACAGACCCTATATTCCGCATCCTACTCCATGAGTTCTCCTCGCCTTTGAAGCAGGACCCAATTTAAACACTGGTCTCTAGTTCCATCTTGGGCACAACATGACAAAGGCAGATTTTACTGCAGCCATGGCACAATTTTTTTTTTTTTTTGTGTTCCTTTATTTTCAACTGATGGCCCAGCCAGTAACACACGTG